TCACATTACTCTGAGAAGCACAAAGCCGAAGACACAAGCCTGAGGATGATGAATGAGACTTCATCGAAACGTCGCCTAGACACTTCCAATTTTATACGGGAGAAAACCCGAATAACCAAAGATCCACATACAAATACCTGCGAAAACCTCAGAAAACAAATACACACACACACACACACACAGACACACACACACACACAATACAGAACACAATACAGAAGCCTGATGATGGCAGATGAGATTCTGCCGAAACGTTGCTACAACTTTAAAAGCACAACTATAATGACGTGGGAAAATACCCGAACAAAGCTGAATGCCATACATGTAAGTACCCGCGAAAACTTAAGAAAATATATATGTATATCCTTCAAAGAGTATTTCAGTGGACCTGAAATATCAATTCATTCTTCAAGATGTTCCCAGCAAGTTCCAAATTGCTATCATGGAGCCCTTCATTTGAAGACACAACTTACTCAAATGCCTTTTTTAATGAAATCTACCACCATCAATATTTAAGCAAGAAGTACCATTCTTTTGGAAGGGATCAAAGGAGTAGAAAAAGTCAAGTCAAGGTGGTCACCAACACATTTTCGCTGATTTTAGAAGCCTTGGAAAAAATGGTCCAAATATACGTTTTTTTCCAATAGGTTTTAAAGGTAGGAGTAAAAAAAAAAAACTTGTCTCTTTAAAGATCGCTAGCCTCATAAGTTCCTAGTGAACCAGTCAACACACATGCTCTATGTATATTACATAATTTCCTAGCTCAATGTGAAAAGGAATGTGATTAATCCTTTCTGACGTGCTCTGAACTTTTTGTGCAAATAGGTTCTTCCTCCTCCTCCTCCTTCAGACGTGCTGCAACTGATGTCATTTGACCTGCAGATACCTTCCTGAAAGCACTGACATTATTGTACTAATTATCCACCTTCGTTTACAGCTGAAGCCCAGAGACTACTTTGCTAAATAAAAGAGGATACTGAAGAGGAACGTCGCGCACTGAAATATTTCCGTTTGCATTTAAATTGCTGCTTTCCCTCGATGGAGTGAGAAAATACATCAAATCAACTCACAGAAGCGAGGATGTAAAATGCTATTCAGCTGGTTGAGGCAAATGAGGAATTCACAGCAGACTGTCCCTTCCCCGTTTGTTTTATAGGCTGCCAGGGGAAGACATTAAACCAATTCAGAGTGGTAAATAGGTCTCTAGGAAGGGATAATTGTGGTAAATTATAGGGACATAGCACAATGCCTGAACCTGTTTTGCTCGGTTATTGTTTTGCCCTGTTCCTCCTCCTTTTGAAAGCCAGTTGCTAAGAAGATCATGTGCCCTATCAGGTGTTTAGAAAAGTCACACACACACATACACACTCCAAATTCTTATCTGGGGGGAGGGGAGGGAAGCATTGCCACTTTGCTCCTCTCCACTTTGTGTATCTCTGCAAACGCTATCCCCAAAAACCCAACCTCATTCCTACACAGGTAGTTCTCGACTTACAACAACAGTTCATAGTCATAGGTTACTAATAAGTTTCAAGGGCACCGAAAATAGTGACTTAAGGCCATTTTTCACATCTACGACCACCGTTGCATCCTGGTGGTCATCCAATCAAAATTCAGACGCTTGGCAACTGATGTATATGATTGGTCGCAATGTCCCCAGGTTGCAACCTTCCAACAAGCAAAGTCAATGGGGAATCCCGATTCACTTAACCGTACTACTAACTTAACAACCGCAGCGATTCCCTCCACAGCCGTGGCAAGAAATGTGGTAAAAACGGGGGCAAGATTCACTTCACAAGTGTCTCGCTTAGCAACAGAAAGAGGGGGCGGGCTCACATTTTCGGTCGTAAACCGAAGACTACCCGTACTCCTTTAAGCGCGGCTCTAATCCGAGAGGCGGGTCTTCCCGCCAGCGAAGCAACGCATCCACAAGCGCCCAAAGCGCCACTGCCCTCACAGCCGGTGGTCCGGCTTCACCAGTGACCCTTTCTAAATGACTGGGAATAAAAAGCCAAAGGCAAAAACCACTGAAGGGCGACCAGCTTTACTCTTCTCGGCTACTCTGGGACTCGCCCGGAAAAGACGGATCCATGCCGCGCCATCTCTCCCAAACACCCCCCTCCCTCTCCTTCTCTCTCTCTCCCTCACTCACAAACACACCCCTCGCTTCTCTGGACTTCTCCACCTACTATAGCCAGGCAGTCCGACTTACCCACTCCAGCAGCCTCAGGAAAGCCAGGGGCTCCTTCACCGCCCGAAAACTGCCCTTGGAGGCTAGCTGGGAGGAAAGAAAGAAAAAAAAACCCAAGGCAAAGTCAGAGGATGCCCGAAGCCGGGGGGGGGGGGGGATCCCAACCTTCGCGCGCCTCCTCCTCCTCCTCTTCTTCCTCCTCCTCGGGCTCCTTTACCTGGTCGACGGTTTCCATGCCTGCCCGGCTCTCGGCGCGCAAACTTCAGCTCCTCCGCTCCAGGCACAGGCGACTGTGGTTGCGGCGGCGGCTGGCTTCGAAAAGCGTCCGGAAAGAAGGCGATAAGCTCGTCGCCTGAGGCGAAGAGCCCCGGCTGGTTGTCGAGGCTGAGTTGCCGGAGAATACCCACCGCCCGAGTCGAGCCGAGCCGAGCGCGCTGGGCGGAGGGAAAGAGAAGAGGGGGCGGGCTGCCCGCCTTTTGCGCCTTCGCTGCCTTCGTGTCAGCCGTGAGGGAGTCGGTCGAGCTGAAGGCAGGCGCGGGTAACGGCGGGGCCTTAAGACGGCTTCTGCCCGGCCAACTCCGGCGCGTTCCCTCAGCTTTCCCCGAATGGAGCCGACTACCTCGGGAAGTCCGAGATTTTGAGGAGGCAGAAACGGGGAAAGAAGCAGGCGGTCCTGGGCACGACCACGCCGTAACAATTCCCGAGCAAAGCCCCTGCCTGTGGCTATCGCCAGCTGGCGGCAGGCCTGGCGCTGCCCCCCTGTTTAATGCATTCCCCAAATTTACCCTCCGTTTCCTCGTTAACTTTAAGAAGCGTCCAGTTTATTCAGTTTATTTTGTACGGCTCCTTAGAAATCAACCCTAGTTAGCTTTTGGGGACTGATGATGAGGATGCTTTCTTCTAATTGCACTGTGGGAAGGTTTGTGGAGATTCTCAAGCCATTCCAGGTCACCATTGTGTCAAAGGTGCTTTTTTTTCCCCCTTCAAAAGGTAACTATAGGGTTTTTTTTTCCCTTGAGGAAGAACAAGAAAACGTTTCACTTCTCATCCAAGAAGTACTTCATCAATATTTCCGCCATCAGAATCAATGAAGCTTCTTGAATGAGAAGCAAAACTTCCTCCAGGGGAAAAAAAAAAACACGCAGTTGCCTTTTTGAAGAAAAAAATAGCACCTTTGAGCACCGTCAGAATGTTAAATGTACAATGGATCACTATTGGGTCACTATCGCTAAGAGTTGACATTGACTTGATGGCACATAGTCATCAATCCATTGGACTGTGTTATTTTTCTGTGTCCTATAATATATGGGTATAATCATAATTTATTTTTGTCATGTTCAGTGTATGTTGCAGGTGGAGACCCTTTGAGGACTATATGCAATGGAATTTCATTTTAATGTATGCCGATTAGTGTACATTTAAAGTGACATTAAAGTTATGCTAAGTCTAAGGGAAACACAAGGGAAGGGTAAAGTGCAGATAATACTTGAAATACCACCATTCCATTTCAGCTACTGTTTAAAGTTACAATGGAACTGAAAAAAAGTAACTTATGGCCAATCATCATATGACCATCGTAGCATCCTCACTATCAGCACGGTTGCAGCATCTCAGGGTGATGAGATTACCATTTGTGACCTTCCCGATAAGCTTTCAAGGGGCAAAATCAATGGAAGGAAGCTGAATTCACTTAGCAACTTCATGAATCACTTAAAGTGAATTGTTTAATAACAGTGGCAAAAAGATTGTAAAATTATGAGTCATTTAACTTGCTTAGCAATGGAAATTCTGGTTCCAGTTGAGTGCTGCCTGTATGCTAGGCCAAAGCCAGCTGTAGTTTTTGGCTCCTCAATAAACCCAATTCAGGGTTGTTATGAATTTGATATCTAATTCACAGCAGATGCAACTGCTTTACAGTACATTCAAAATGCAATGGAAGCTTACTACAAGCCACTGAGTATCTATGGAGATTCTCAGTCATCCAGGTCAAGGTTGTCCCAAAGATGCTTTTTCAAGAGGCACCTGGAGTGTCTTTGTTTTTTGTTTTTTTTGAAGACATTTCACATCTCATCCAAGAAGCTTCTTCAGCTCTGAAGAGATGAGAAGTGAAATGTCTTCAAAGAAAAAGTCCAGTTGCCTCTTGAAAAAGCACCTTTGGAAAAACCCATTGAGTAGTTAGCTGAGTCTGTCTCGGGAAAGACTTAAATAGCCCTCCCATACAAGCGCAGACAAAAACAACCAACACCACTTCTGCTCCCTAATACAGTGAGAATATAACAATGGTGGAGAAATCAGTCTTTTTGCTGTCATTGGAACACAACCAGCCATTCAAATTTCTACTGGTTCAAATTCACATCAGATTTGTATCTTTACTGATTTGCTTGGTCATTTAGGATTGCTTAGTCAAGCAAGGAATGTCCGGAGCTCTTTGCAACTGGAAAGAATGTGCTAGAGTGACAGTGTCAACAACCCTTATTACTTTACAATTCTACTGCAACATCGTATGTATTGTAGAATTGTTAACTATTGCACCTGGAAAGCTCTCTAGAGATTTGTACCTGAGCTCAGCTATAAAGTCGAAGTTATAATCTTATCAGGAAGGGATTGTCCATGACAATGAATTGATTCTACTTCTGCTAAACTTTGGTTTACTGCCAAACTATCATACCTTTAAGCAAGCACAGAATATTCGTAGACAGGCTCGTCATGGATTACAAAACCTGAGTCAGACTTGAGTGGACAATCTTTCCAGAGGTGATAAATGACCTCTGCCAGCTAAGGCAACAAAGTTGGGCAGCAGTATGACTGTTAAACCAACAAGGTTTTGTTTCTGCTTCTGTGTTCAAAATCCAACATCATTTCAAAAAAGAATTAATGAGACTTTTGGTGAAACTGAGAATCTGATGGATATCTGCAACATCTTCCACATTCCAGTCTATATATCTACTCACACCTGGTCATCCCTTATTCAGGTATCCTCAGTACCAGTATCTTCAGAAAGCATTTACTGAAGAGCTATTATAAGACACAATTTCCATATACCATTTCTTTTTCAAATGGATTTTTCCTTTGTGTGCAGCTGGCACGCTTCTACGCTTTCAACTGTGATGTAAGATAAGAGTGGACATTGGAGGGACTCAAGAGTTAATATTTTTGCTTTATATCTCAAGCATGGAAAAGGAGAGGGTAATAAAAGAAGAGTAAAACAAATAGACCATCAAACAAATCAAACTTTTAGCACTAACACAATTAATGCCACACAGTTAACCAAAGTATAACAAAAACAAATATAAAGGTATACAATATGGTAGAGGATATCAATCATTTCTCTTCCATCCATAATTTAGGTGGCCTAATATGCTAACTTTCTTAATCACAAGATAGATTGGTCCTTAATACATTAACATCCATACATATAAAAGAAAGTAATATATACTTAGCCTGAATCATAGCTAACTCATATCTATAGATTGTAAGTATAGGCTATCTTAGGGACTGAACCAAAATGACCTGTATGGTCAGGTGCAGCTAATTTGTCTAAGCAGGTGGATATTGAAATATTAATTGTTCAGAACTTCACTGTCCCAATAATTCTTTTTCTATCTCACTTATATTTGTTTATGTAGGAAAAGATTTTTAAATGGAAATAATCAAGATTAACATTGTAAAATTTGCAGTTTGAATTAGCCCAAGTAGCTGAAATTTTTGTTGAGAAACAATGTAACATACAATGACCATTTTTATTGGTAAACTTCCATTTCTTGTCTTCAATTTGACCTGTATTTCCTGATCTATATGACAGGGCTCTGATTTGTGCCTTGAATGCTGCTGAATATTTCACCGGGAATATTGTCAAATGATTTCTCTGCTATATTGGTTTGCAATGAAAAAAATGGACAAATTATATTTCATTTTGTAAATAAAACATCACATGAGACATTTGTCTCATCATACTATCCCATAGAATTTCGTACCACACTAAATCACACCAAGCATGAATCAGACCCAGTGCCACATCTTCAGCATCAGAAAAAGATGCCGCCCAAACCAGAGTTTCAAGTTTTAGTTATTTGCGTTCTGTTATCTGATGAACATTGATTTGTCTCTCAGGTTTTGTTTTGGGTCATTAGCTGGCACATAGTATAGTCAATTATGGGACAGAATTGCTACCAGGCCAAAGTGATATAGCAGCACAAATACAATGGAAATAAAACAAATGTTGATTATAATGAAGAAAATTTTGTGAAGATAATTGTAGAAGGATACTGTGGATTTGATTTAGGAAAAGAATGCTCCAAAATTGGGTTTTGTCACTCACAGAAACCCTACTTTGAACTTTTACCATCAAACCAAGTAAAATGCATGCATTAAATTGCAAAGTAAGTGCTTTTTAAGAGTCTCAGAGAGAGCAAATAATTGTCAATTCTTATGCCTTAGATGAGTATCTAGTTAAGGCACATGCACTGAAGAATTATTATTCAAAGCTGATCCAATGATTACATCTCATTATTTTTCTGCCTTATTCCTTCCTGCTTTATTGCATTTATTGTGTTCTTTATTTTATTCTTGGTGAAATTTACTTCTGTTTGAGATGTAAACCCTAATCTAAGGCTTAATACATAGAAGAAAAGTGGAAAAAATGGCTCTACATCCATTTTCTTTTTACAGTATGTCTTATAAATGTGTGTGTAATGATAATCATAGGGAGTTGAAAATGCAATGTGCCCTCTAAGTGAGTAACTTTAAGACTTGTCAGTTATCATTGGGGAAATTGGAAAAAATCTTTTTTTTTTTGTAGGGCAAATTTTGTTGCAGATAGTATGGAACTTTATGCCTTATACAATTATTAAATGGAAAGAAAAGCAAGACAGAAATAATTATTTTCCAGGGGCACAGTTCTTTGCATTTTTGGAAACTAAAATGGTGAGAATACTTTATACAGATCTTCTTATTTTGTGGTATGCATACACAGAACCTTTAAAAATATATTAAATTGTAATTTAAAAAAATGAAATGCTTGAAAGAAATCTTCATTAAAGAGGAAGAAATATTGAAATGATTTTTTAAATTAAAAACTCATGGAAAAGATAGGAATAGTTGTGCTTTTGGCTGAAATTCATTATATATTAAATATTTGAGTCACAAAACTATTAGAAGAAACAGATTGAAATTATCATATTTTCTTGGCATGTATATAATAGACATCATATTCAAATTATATTGATATGTTTTATTCAGCAATAACTAAGAGTGGAATAATGCTGTGTGGCAAAAATCAACTGAAAATAATTGCTATTTGTTTTCCAATCTTGTTGATTTTTTTTTTACTCCGT